TAAATACACTGATGTGTTTATTATATTTTTATACGTGGAAAAATAGTTAATTATGATGCTGTTATACATATTTTTTCTGAATTACAAATTGTTAAGAAACGCATAAACATCCGACTCACGTGAAAATATCTCGCGCAAAACGAACTTTGTGACGAAAGTTTATGTATTATATAATCCGTAAGAAGCAAATGTGTGGCAAAAAGTTAACGTAGCGACGGCACTTTTGATGTATTACCAATCGGAGAAAAGTTTTAATAGGGAAGCACTCCAAATACGACGGCATCTTTCATTCTTAATAACGATGAAAGAAGTAAATCGATAGTTATTATCGTAACTTTGATATTTCATCGAAGTACAGGAATTATTGCATAAATAACGAGATTGCTTATAATAATCAGATTTTGAAATCATTCCAAGCAACCAAATGTACCTAATAGCTACTGACTGATTGTTATCCGAGCTTTTAATGGGCTAACATGAAGTTTGACAAATCATTTGTATCGTTTATTAATTCAAGATTTCCCATGTGATTTATTTAATTATTTGAAAACATCAGAATCATCTTTAGGATAAGACGAATAATATATCAATGATTTTAATCATCCTAGTCTGAGAATTAGAATTAAACAACAATTTCCGTTGGAAATAAAAATTCAAAAATAATACCGACTTTATAAAGTTTGCATTAAACAACGAATTTAAAATGATTTTTGCCATTTAGTGTCTCTCGTCCACGGAAATATTTTTTGGAAAATAAATCCTCTGCAAAATGTTCCAGATATCTCAGCTAAATAAGCCACTTTGTTGTATATTTTGTTTTTTTATTAGTCTTTCGTTTTTCAACCCTCGTGCTAGATCGTCGAAGCGGTTGTCCAAAGGCAATAACCGTGTAGATTTCCAGGTGACATGCTAAATTTTCTCTCGCGCTTTTTCTTCAATTTCACGTCCGTTTTGGCACCCGTTCGACGAACATATCCACAAACGGTCGATAATTTATGCGAATACCAAGGGCGAATAGCCGCTTTATCCCGGACTCGATGCACCGTATAGAAAGTAGCCAAATAAAAAACACCAAAGTTTTTATATTATGCCGATGTGCTATTCATTTTCTACCTTTCATCATATCTGACAATGGATCGAGAGCCTAAATTAAGTAAGGTACGAAACGACATTTTCATAGATTCAAATTTGAGTTGGAACGCAAATGAAAAGGACGCGCCATTCTTTCCATCTCTCTCTCTCTCTTTCTTTCCGATTTTATTGTGCATAAAATGCAAGAGATATTTTCACTCTACATTTGTCCAAATTACATTTCGTCTACACTCACACATACACAAGGCGTAAATGTATAGTCCAAAAATACAGAAAAAATTTCTCTGCAATAGAAATTTTCACACGCAAATCAATATCATTGTCGACGAATTTGTTCGTCATTTGATTTTTTATTATTATTTACATGTGAATTTTATTTAATTAAATTTTATAATTTCGACAGAATTCACACACATTTTCATTTACAGAAGAATGTTGCTAATTTAAATCAAATTACAGTATGTGTGTGAAATTCATTTTGTAAAGTTACCAAATTTGCAAGGAATATTTATTTTCCGATAAAAAAATTTTTTTTTTTTCAAAGTTCTTTTTGAGAGCAAAGTTTTCTCGTTTAGTGAAATGTTTCATATTTGCTTATAATTTCGATGAATTAATATCACATAGCTTTTGTATTCGTGTAAAATATGTAAAATTCCGATAATTTGTCGCAACCCGTCAATAACAAATCTTTCTATATGAAGTAGAAATTATTTACTCCTCACTCATGCGAGTTGGTACAGTATAAATTTGGCAAGTTTTTGCATGTTTCTATTTTTCTTTCATCTCGCCGACAGATGTTTTTTTATATTTATGAGACAGACACGTGTCACGCATGCACGCTTGAAAATTTACATATTTCTCTGAAATTCGTTACTTTATCAAATTGATTGAAACAAAAACACTTGTGGAAATATATTAATATATGCGACGAATTTTGTCGTTTTAACTTTCTGGCATAATCAATGAACCGGGAAGGGTAAAAAGCCGGTAACAGTTTGTGATTCTTGTGAAGTCAGCTTTAACCCTCCACCTTATTTTTCATCGAATGCGGAATTGCCTGTAAAAACGATCCTAATGATCCTGAGCGAGAGAATGTTACGTTTCCATTGCAGACATTTTCTCTCGGATTTTACATCATGGTTCACGAACGCCTACCTAAAACGATTTTCTCCCCCGCGGCATGCGATAGAGACGAGAAGAATGAATCGAGGAGAAGGGTCTCTCGAGAAGTTCCTCTGGCGAAAGAGAGAGAGCGTTAATACGCGAACTGCGTTTTTCGGGGAAGGGGGGAAAAATTTCTCCTCTTTTTTTCCCTCGTCGAACATTCCGTATTACGCGAATACGCGAAACCTCGTGAGCTGGCTGGCCGTTTTGATCGGACCGATTCTGAATATAGGGCAAATAGAATATCGATAATATTGCAAATATCGCGACCGATGTAAACGAGGCTGGCATCGAAAGTCGTCGGTTTCCACCGTTTCCGGCGTGCACAATGTTACCGCGGGATTTATGCGGAATATTTTTATCCACAGCAACAGAGGCGAGAGATCCCGATGCGCGTACAAAGGGTGGATCCGAGCGAGCCGCAGTTTCTGGCGTACAAGCGTTTACGATGCACTGCGACGCGACGTGCTTGTAGGTGATTCGTTTCGTGCTTCGAGGGAAGAGGAGGCGGGAGAGCCTTCTCTTCCTTTCTTCTCCCATCCCCCTTGCTCGTCGAGAAGGAGCAACGCGGAGACACCGATTTTCCCGGCAAGTAGGGCGGAGCGCCGTGGCTGCTGGAATTTCTATGGAATTTCCGCGCTGTAGCCGTCGAATAACGGATTGCATTCGGGATAACGTCGACGCGATTTTTCCTACGATTGGGAATTACGAATTTTCGCTACTCTAGGAACTTGCCGCTGAGAAATGCAGCATCGCCTTTGCCGGGTCAATAATCGCCGAGGCGCGAAAGTTCGCGAGGTTTCACACGACTCTTCCTCCCTCCCTTTCCCCCTCGGCCGTTTTAAGGATATTGAAATAGCGCATGTGCAATTGTTTACGTCGTGTATACGTAGTTTAATTTCGACGAAATCTCTCGACCGTAGTCGAGAGAAACGACCGGGGTCAAATGCATTTCGGACCAGCCGAGTAGAAGAGCCCACGGCGAAACTTTACCGACTTCCGCGCTTTAGCGATCATTGACCAAGCGCAAAGCGGCCTTTGATACAGGGAAATGATTCGTTAAATTTACTGTTAAAATTAAAAAAAAATACAAGTATCAAGATGAAATTAAATAATGACATTAAAATTCCAAAGAAATGTACACATGTACGTAATAACGAGAACGGGGGGAGGGGGTTAAACTACACGGAGAAAAAAATCTGGTTGCGTTAATTAGACTTCTGGTAGATTCAATCAGTATGTCTGTTGGAAAATGGACGAATCAGAATTCTTGTAGAAACTACCAGATGAACGTGATTAATTTGTTCTTGTTAAATTTACCAAATTTTCTGATTATATATGTGATTATATATATGAATAATACTAAATTTTCTGATTATATATGTGATTATTCTGATTATATATGAATAATACTAAATTTTCTGATTATATATGTGATTATATATATGAATAATACTAAACTCGCCAGCACCAAGTCGTCTAAAATTTTGTCCATCTAATCTCAAAAGTCTGTTTAATATTTTGAATTCCAACAAGATCGTTGGATAAATTCAATCCAGATTATTGAATAAATAATTTTAAGTTCAGTTTGTTAGAAATTAAACTGACAAACAATGCACTGAGAAAAAAGTCTGGTTGCATTAATTAGAATTCTGATAGATTCAACCAGTATGTCTGTTGGAAAATGGACGAACCAGAATTCTTGTAGGAATTATCAGATGAATTTGATTAATTTCTTCCTATTAAATTTACCTATTAAATTTAATTTCTTCCTATTAAATTTACCTATTAAATTTACCTATTAAATTTTTTCCATCTAATCTCAAAAGTTCTGTTTAATATTCTGAATTCCAACAAAATTATTGGATAAATTTCAATCCAGATTATTGAATAAATTATTTTAAATCCAGTTTGTCAGAAATTAAACTGATAAACAGTGATGCAAGAAGATGATACAGCTCAAACACATACAATCAAAGATTTAGCGTTTTCTTTCTGGCACTACTGCTCGTAAAAAAAAAATATACTTTGGATTTAATGTTAATACTAGTTCTTTACATACATTTCATGGCAAATATGACGACATAATGACAAGAAATTTTATAGATTCAACCAGAAAATACTATCCAAATCCTTATAGTAAAATCTATTAAACGTTCTAGTTATAAAAAATCGAGTTTTATCATGATAACTAGAAATTCTTGTTTGATTTAACTAAAATGCCTTCAATCATACACGTCTTGTTGATACAATCAAACGATTTTTCTCAGTGTAATGATGATTTTTGGTACTCTTTCTTCAGAGATAATGACGCACCGCCAAGTGAGCATCACGATATTACGCGCGCCACATTACGTCCATTTATCCATCAACGCAGCGACAACATCCCCGTCTTCCGGTCGTGTGTTGGTTGATCCCCTTACCCTATGTGCAAACGACACAACACCGCTAACGGCGGCGTCTTTGTCCGGGGTGCAACGACGTAGAAATTGCTTCCACAATATTAATACGTCCGATAATCTCGCAAGGCTCTGTTTTCCGTGTAGATACGCGCGGGGGCTCGCGTTAATCCTGCGTATAGTTTCCGACTATAACGGCCGGCTTTCATTAAGCGCGCGTTCCTTTGTTCCACTATACCATTTACGTTGCACATTCGTCGGTGCAGTCATATACGTTATATAACCGTCTCTGTCCGAAACATTTTAACGTTTGATACCGTTCTACGTTTTAGCACGCTCGACATGACCGCAGCCGCGATTGCGGACGCAGCTTGACACTCTCTACGAAGACCCGGACATATTATACCGGATGCTCAGCCGCGCGAAAAGCCGCATATTAACCCGGAAACGGAAGGGTTTCAACTTCTCGTCGAGAAATTAGACGCGAGATTGCGAGGTAAGTGCTCTCTTCTCTCTATTTTTTTTTTCTTCCCGCCGTCTCCCTGTTTTCCAGAGAGCAAAGTTTCCGTTTTAATCGAGAGTATACAGGCGCATAAATATTTATGCAAACCTGCTATTTTGAAAGTTATCCGATGCGCGAATAGTTAATACGTTTCATGTAGGTGCGATAATAAATTTATCGTTTATGGAGAGAAATGCTACCGGACATTGATGTTGAAAATTGTAACATTCTGATCAATAAACTGTCAAGCTGTCATGAAATTTCTTGGAAGCGCCAGTAATAATTTTTCATATTTTATGCATTACAAGATAATTTTAATTGATAAATATTGAATGACATAGAGCGTTAATTTTTGAAACATGTTCTAAAAAGTATATCTATCATTAATTACAACATCGCATATTTATAGTAGTATAATTTTATTAATTCGCCGTGTATATTAATATTTTATATTAATACTTATGTCAGTCAAATTTAAAATGCCCGATATTTTATCGGAAGCGTTAGAATGTTTAATTTCCGAATAAATTAAAATAAAAAAAATTCCGAAGCGAATTCTTCTAAAGACGAGGACGTCGAGCTTAAATCGATAGGGGGAATATGCAAAATGGATCGTGGATATACGGATGAACGATCATTGGATCTCTGGCGACCTCGAAGACCTGGGAAGATGCTGACAAAATATCGGACATTTGTATCCCGGGCGCGGAGGGAAATAGAGTTTAATATTACGCGGGATGATCTTGTTGGCAGCGGGAGTATAAAAAACGCGATGGCCGCGTCGAGCAAAAAGATCGAACGTCGGGAGCGTTTCGTTGCCTACGGCGCTCCATTTACTATTCCCACAGGGTACCGGGAGGGAACGCTTATGCGGGGCTGCCATTGTATTAGGGTGCCGTAGCCTCGGGGTCTTCTATCTATCATCGAGCATCATGCTGGGATCGCAACCCTCGGCGCTCACCGCCTCGCGAGACGTCGTATTGCGTCCTATTGCGATACGTCCGAGCTATATCCTCGCGATAACGAACCGGCGTCCATAACACATTTATTATGTAATATCCGCGATATACAATTATTGCATAATATTGCGAAATAGGGCGCTCTTAAACGCGGGGTTGAAAAAACCCAATTCCCGATCCCCGCAAAATGAAAGCATCAATATCCATCTAGAATAAGCCAGCCTAACACATTTCGAGTAATATAATTATAATTGAAAAAAAATATGATTATTTTTTATCGCGAATAAGCGGAGACGAAGCCGTGGGACGGATTTCCCGCTCGCGGGGATTAAGAAAATTTTTCTGTCCCTCCTCAGAGGGAGGCGTCGCTGGGAAAATCTGCATTGGAAGTTGGAGCGGATTAGAGCAAAGTAGAAACTACCGGGTGGTCGTAATTTGTTCGTAAAGTGCCGCGCGGGTCGGTGTTAACCGTAATGTATAGCGTTATATGTAGTCGGGTTAGTAACCGTAATAGGTGAGAAAAGGGATAGGTGAAAAAAAAAAGGGGAAAACGCAGCCGGGGTTGCGAACTAAAGTATGGCGCGGGATATTAAAAGAAAGCAGTTGAATCGACCGAAATCTCGATATATGTAGTGGAACGATAGGAAGAAGCTCCTGCATTTTATTCGCCCGCGCATTCGGATGGTAAAAGGAGAAGCTTTTAACAATTGGCTTGGAGTTACGTAAATTCTCGAATCTCTCGTATTTTAAAATCGTGTAATAGAATTTCTGCAAGTTTAACTACATTTTCACACCAAGTTTAAGTATCCAATCCAATTGTTTCAATATAATTACGAAAAAGAGTAGCCGGGGAGAGTGATTTTAATAAAAATATCATCAGAATAACTCTCTCTTTTTTTTTTAAACAATTGTTTGTGTAACGCATTTAATAAGATTTAGAAAAAGATTGAGAATAAATCACGTATAACGTTTTTGAATAATCATCTTAACGCACTGAGAAAGAAATCTAGTTGCATTAATTAGAATTCTGGTAGATTCAACCAGTATGTCTGTTGGAAAATGGACGAACCAGAATTCTTGTAGGAATTACCAGATGAATCTGATTAATTTCTTCCTGTTAAATTTATCAAATTTTCTGGTTAATAAACTCACCAGCACTAAGTCGTCTAAAATGTTTTCCATCTACTCTCAAAAGTCTGTTTAATATTCTGAATTCCAATATGATTATTGGATAAATTCAATCCAGATTATTGAATAAATTATTTTAAGTCCAGTTTGTTAGAAATTAAACTGATAAATAGTGATGCAAGAATTAAATATTATTTAATTACTCGCACTGAGAAAAAAATCTGGTTGCATTAATTAGAATTCTGATAGATTCAACCAGTATGTCTATTGGAAAATGGACGAATCAAAATTCTTGTAGGAATTACCAGATAAATCTGATTAATTTCTTCCTGTTAAATTTATCAAATTTTCTGGTTAATAAACTCACCAGCACCAAGTCGTCTAAAATTTTTTCCATCTACTCTCAAAAGTCTGTTTAATATTCTGAATTCCAATATGATTATTGGATAAATTCAATCCAGATTATTGAATAAATTATTTTAAGTTCAGTTTGTTAGAAATTAAACTGATAAACAGTGATGCAAGAATTAAATATTATTTAATTACTCGCACTGAGAAAAAATCTGGTTGCATTAATTAGAATTCTGATAGATTCAACCAGTATGTCTATTGAAAAATGAACGAATCAGAAATCTTGTAGGAATTACCAGATGAATCTGATTAATTTCTTCCTGTTAAATTTATCAAATTTTCTGGTTAATAAACTCACCAGCACCAAGTCGTCTAAAATTTTTTCCATCTACTCTCAAAAGTCTGTTTAATATTCTGAATTCCAATATGATTATTGGATAAATTCAATCCAGATTATTGAATAAATTATTTTAAGTCCAGTTTGTTAGAAATTAAACTGATAAATAGTGATGCAAGAATTAAATATTATTTAATTACTCGCACTGAGAAAAAAATCTGGTTGCATTAATTAGAATTCTGATAGATTCAACCAGTATGTCTATTGAAAAATGGACGAATCAGAAATCTTGTAGGAATTACCAGATGAATCTGATTAATTTCTTCCTGTTAAATTTATCAAATTTTCTGGTTAATAAACTCACCAGCACCAAGTCGTCTAAAATTTTTTCCATCTACTCTCAAAAGTCTGTTTAATATTCTGAATTCCAATATGATTATTGGATAAATTCAATCCAGATTATTGAATAAATTATTTTAAGTTCAGTTTGTTAGAAATTAAACTGATAAACAGTGGTGCAAGAAGAGGATGCAGCTCAAACACACACAATCAAAGAGCTAGCGTCCTCTTTCTGGCACTACTGCTCGTAAGAGAAAAAAAATACTTTGGATTTAATGTTAATACTAGTTCTTTATATACATTTCATGGCAAATATGACGACATAATGACAAGAAATTTTATAGATTCAACCAGAAAATACTAATCAAATCCTTGTAGTAAAATCTATTAAACGCTCTATAAAAAGCAGTTATAAAAAATCAAGTTTTATCATGATATCTATAAATTCTTGGTTGATTTAACCAAAATGTTCAATCATATACGTCTTGTTGATACAATCAAACGATTTTTCTCAGTGCACGAATAATTAAATAATAATACCAGTCATGAAACTTTAATCGATTCGTATCGCCTAAAGGTTTTTTCGTAAGAGAAGCGTGAGTAGGGATCGTTGAAAAGGGTCATCCGATCTCGTAAGTTCATCATCCCTCGGCCCTTCTTACATTTTGTCTGCGTTCGTCTGTATGTGTTTCGGATTAGCGACACACGAAACTGTAGGGCGGTGCTATCCTCCCTAGATTCCATCGATGATTACCGTTATTCACGGACAGGCGGTGGTCGAAATAAATACGACCTGTACCCTCAATCCCTGCGATCCATTGTGACGATTAAACTGAGCTACGCGAATGGCGATTTACGTCAACTTTAACCGCAACCGAAAATTCTGGGAAAATATCTCTCGTCTCGTTTATAAACGATGAAATGGAATATATCTTATACACATGTATACGTTTTATTGTTTAATTTATATTTGCTTCAATTTGTTTATTCGAATAAATCAATATCGTTTGAAAAAATATGGAAGATCGAACAAATAATTCTCTCCGGAAATTTGAACATGTATATCGAGAAAAAATCACACGAGTGAATAAATACAGAGTATCTGACGATCTCATAATTTTTATATTTGTAACAACGGATGCGGAGGAAGATAAAAAAAAAGAAGATATCGAACGTGAAGAAAGGGAAGAGGGAAAAGGAATATGTAGCGTCGATCACAGAATATTTTACGTCGCGCGAGATCAATGTACGGATACGCTTCCAATTTCCCCACGAACATCGGAATGCCGATCGAATCGTAGGCCTAACTCGCGCGTAATCCTTCCTAATCCTAAGGGAGAACCGTGAGGATCCCTGCAAACCGGCAATCTATTCCTAATGTCTCTACTAATCCCTTGTCCCGCGATCGGCGTAGACTGTCCTATCTAATGGTATATATTCGTCAACAAGGTCCCTCGGAAGACCCTACGACTGGATTGATAAGAACGAAGCTTTCCCGATCACCTAGATACTTTATTCGCGCGACTATCAACGGAATGTCATTTCTAGGATCATCGGATTCTGGAATCGCGTCGGTCTCCCCATTTACTCGATCAAGAACGACGTTGTTTTTCCGCATCGTTCGGGTCATTCGCGACTTACGCGAAGTGTCCTATAAAATTTACGAAGAGGACAATTATTTCTTGTTTCGTTAGTGTTATCCGTGATGGAAGGTTTCGTTATTGGATTGCTCCATCATCTGAATCAGCGCGGTGTGTACGTTAAGTGCCACTAATGTCGCATACGCAGTATCTCTGCTCTGATGGATGAGAATATTCCTCTGCTCTCGGAGAGCTGCACCATTGCGTGAAAATCATGCAACCATGTCCAGGCATTAATAT